TGGAATTCGTGGGTGAAAACGAGCGGCCGCTTGGAGCAGCTGGTTACGCTCACGTTGGCTCCCTGTCCCGAGTCACTGGGTTACTGAACTGAGCCATTGTTCACCGCATTAGTTCCACCTGCGCCGACTGAAGCGAGTCGCTGTTTTTCCCATTTGAGGCTCGCGCGCGGGCGCCGCTATGGGTTTTCACACCGTTGAACGTAAAGAGAAACACCTCGATTGATAATCAATAGCGGGGCGCCGCTGTGCGGACTGATGCACGGCGACCTCTGCTGCGGATTAACCGCTGTGAGGCTGCAGCAGCGCTGTAATCTATGGTGCTAATCTTCTGCCAATGTGCACAGGGATTATTAGGCAGATCATGGGGATCAGATTGGGACTGGATTTATGCAACTGCCAGGTGTTGGTCTGCCGTGTTCAGCAGTCTGCGTGCGCGTGTGTGCGTATCATGCACGAGGTTAACAAGTTGTACAAACAGGTTTCTATCAATGGATGGAAACATCGAGGCCGAGTGCAGCGATTGGTGCCGATGGGCTGCGTGCAGGAAGCCGTGCATTGATTTCCACGTCCATCGGGTTTTTTTCCGGCCGCTGAAGGTCGTCGAGCGGGGCGAGACAAAGGCCGCTGTGTGTTTTTTTTTGCAGGCGTGCGCACCCTCGCGTTAAAGTAGCGACCTGCGGGAACGAAACAAAGCCATCAAGGATGAAAACACAAGAATATTCGCATTGAAAAGAGGTTTTTTAATCCCCATTAACGGCTGTTGTTTTCAGATCCACGTTCAATCTTTTCAACGCGAAGTGATGAATCTGTCCGTCGAGGTCCACAGAGAGAAAAAGGGCGAGGACTCTGCTTTGGCTCCGGCTCTCTGGTCATATTTGGAAATACGCGTCTCGCCATGTGAATGATGGAAGCTGCGTCTGTGTCCCTCTTCACAGAAGTGAAGCGCCAGCTGCTGTAAAACCCTTCAGCACAATGACCTGTTGTTCCTCGGTCACTCCACCTCGGCTCCCACGTGTCGCATCTCGGGCGCTCTTTTCATCTCCCACCTCTGTCCTTTCATTCATTTTGCGGTGTATTTAAACAAACATACATAATAACACCATTTTTATTTCGTCTCCTCTGACCTTTTTTCCTCGGGTTTCCTCTCTTTTTTCCCCCGCGGCCTTTTGCTCCCATCTCTCCGTCTGTGCTGGGAGATTCTTTTTTCACCCGGCAGCGGCTTAGTGACGGAGAGAGCGTATAAAATGAAAACCAACCCGGAGACGGAGAGAGAGAGATGTGGCTTAAAAAAAAAAAAGGCCCGTGGATTATAACCGATAGATGACAGAGTAGCGCTGCATTAAAAGCTTTTAGAGGACGCCGCCGCAGTCCCCCCTGCGTGGGGCCGCGTGGACCCGCTGGGTCGGCGGGGACGGACACAACGAGGACAGAAACAAGTCCAATCCGTGTGCCTCGGCGTGCAGGGGGGTGTTAGGAAATCAACACGCGATTGTGTAGCAAAGAGGATTGAAACTCATCTGTGGGGGTAAAATATCCGACTGTACCTTTGATTTTACGTCCACTGAAACAGAGAGTAACAGAGACTTTGACTGCAAGGAAGTCTCACAAGCTCACGATGGCTGCGGCTACGTTTCCTGTCCATTAACAAATGATTTCGGCTGAAAAGCTTCCCGTCGGGATGCGAAGAGCAGAAAGGGAAAAAATGGAATCCATTCTGTCCCAATTTAGAGACGGAGATCACAAAGTGAAAGGAAGAGACTGCTGAGTTAAAATTAGGGCCAGTAGGGGGTGTTTTAAGTGTCTGCTTAAAAACAAAGGACAAAAAAGTGTCAAAACTCGCTTCAAAACGATATTTACTTTACTTTGTGTCGCGTCTTCTGGGAGACTTCTGTAACAATTGAACGCTTTTATCTGCAGTTTGTTTTAAAAGGTTCTTTCGTGCCTTTTTAGTGTGTTTTCGTAACACGTTTCACAGGCAGCAGATGGAAAAGTCTCTCTCTCTTGAATTCATAGCTGCAGGATCTAAATGTGAACACACCACGAGCTGCTGTGTTAATTATACATCCACATTTCCCTCTGAAATGTCCATGAATGTTGTATACCTCTATATCAATAATATAATACAATTCTGACGGCCTTTTGTAGTACTGAAGAACTGTATTTGGTCTGGAGGATGATCTCCATGGTCTGTCTTTGCCTTCTCACAGGATCCCTCGGTGCAGAAGGTTGGCGGAGGACGGAAGAAGACCGTCTCCTTCAGCAGCATGCCGTCTGAGAAGAAGGTAGCTCACCGTGACGGACTCGCGCCGCGCGATGCCAAAGAGGGGAAAAGACGATAAAGTTGCGCGTTTTTTCCCACCAGGTGAGCAGCGCCGCAGACTGCCTGGCCTTCATGCAGGGCGGCTGTGAGCTGAAGAAGATCCGGCCCAACTCCAGGGTCTACTGCCGATTCTACACGCTGGACCCCGACCTCAGCTGCCTGCGCTGGGAGCCGTCCAAGAAGGACAGCGAGCGCGCTCGGCTGGACGTCTCCAGGGTCCGGGAGGTCCGCACGGGGAAGAGCACCGAGACCTTCCTGCACAACGGCCCCCTCACCGAGCACCTGGCCGAGGAGGCGGCCTTCTCGGTCATCCACGGGGAGGATTACCAGGTACGATTTATCCCGCGCTGGAATTCCCTTCCAGCCTGTTGCCCCCCCCCCCCACCCTGTAACCCCCTCCTCTGCACGCAGTCTCTGGACCTGGTGGCGTTGTCGGCGGACGTGGCCAACATCTGGGTGACGGGCCTCCGCTACCTGTTGGCCCACCCCTCGGTCATCGGGGCCGGCGGGAGGGATGGGGGCCTGTGTGAAGGAGCGGGCGGCTTGGCGGTGGACGGCAGCCCGGGAGGGAAGATGAGGAGCGAGTGGCTGGCGGCGGAGTTCGCCCAGGTGGACGAGGACGGCTACGGCATCGTGTCGGAGGACGTGGCCGTCGGCACCATCTGTAAACTCTGCCCCGGCATCAAGGAAGCAAAGGTGAACGAGTCAGCACGCGCTCTGCAGACTGGGGGGGTTCGTGGCACAAATGGTTTTCTTATTTCAAGTTGATATTCAAAGCACTTTTGCGCGATTGATCAGATTATCAGGCATTTGCAGTAGAAAGACGTTGCTCTAATTGATAAACAAGGAGAGAATTATCGTTTGGTGATGACTGGACGTCACCGCGGCAACAGCCACGGCCGGGGAGGTTTGTTCCTGTAATTGGTGGAGCAGAACGTTTTCATCCCTCGTGTTCGGAGATCCCACCAAATGTCACCAACGTCTGGTACATAAACGATATGCGACGTGCATTTATTGGATATTAATCAGGAATAAGCCCGAGCCGTATTAAGTTAGGACTGTCGATTATTGCAGGCGTGCACTGAGCGGAGAGCAAGATGAACTAATAAAGAGAGAAGAAGAGGAAGCAGGCGAAGGAAGGAGATGATTAATATCGTTGAATGAGGCGTTTTCCTAATATCCTTCGCTGAAACAAGGTAACTCCAGTTTTAATTAAGCTCCAATAAACCCTCTTCTCGTCCCTCCTCAGGTGCGCCTGCGCTTTAAGGAGATCCAGCGCAGCAAGGAGAAGCTCACCTCCCACGTGACCCGAGAGGAGTTCCACGAGGCCTTCTGCGAGCTCTGCACCCGCCCGGACGTCTACTTCCTGCTGGTGCAGCTGTCCAAAGACCGGGAGTGTCTGGACCCGCAGGACCTGCGTCTCTTCCTGGAGACGGAGCAGGGCTTGTCCCTGGCGACCGCGGAGGGCTGCTGGGAGATCCTGCGGCGCTGCGAGCCCTCGGCCCAGGGCAAGGAGAAGGGGCTGCTGGGCCTGGACGGATTCGCCCGCTACCTGCAGTCTCCGGAGTGCCAGCTGCTCGACCCGGAGCACCTGGGGGTCTGCCAGGACATGAACATGCCTCTGTCCCACTACTACATCAGGTCGGTTCACCATTTGCATTGTTTTTGTAAAGCTCTTGTGCGTGGCCGAGCATCTGTGAGTGAAGTCGCTCGGTGGTCTCGTTCCCCCAGCACCTCGTACCGCTCCTACCTGCTGGAGGACCAGGTGCACGGCAGAGCGGACCTCGGAGGGCTGATCAGGGCTCTGCGGTCCGGCTGTCGCTGCGTGGAGCTGGGAGTGACCGACGGCCCGGAGGGGGAGCCCCTCCTCGGGGTCGACCACGGGCCGGACATCCCCCACCAGCACCACCACCACCACCACCACCACCAGCACGCGCCCGTCACCCTCCGCTCTGCCCTGGAGGTGGTCAGCAAGTACGCCTTCCTGACCTCGCAGTACCCGCTCTTGGTGTACTTGTGCCAGCGCTGCTCCCCCGGCCAGCAGCGCACCATGGCGCAGCATTTAAAGAAAGTGCTCGGCTCCCGTCTCTACAGGCCGGAGCCCCCCCTCGCTGACCCGGCGGGGCGAGCCACGGCCTTGCTTTCAGCGGAACATTCTAGAGGACGTCCCCTGATTTGAATATGAAGCATTCTACAATAGCAGTTCATCTCCGTGAACAAGTAGTTAGATATGTTCGAGTAGTTCAGTATGATAAACTAAAAAGTCAGTGCCGGGAGATGGCCCTACCTGTCGAGTAGGATTTGGGCGTGGTCATATCGGTGCCTCCGCCCTCTCAGCCCAGGAAGCTGCGCCTCCACAAGGAGCTGTCGGACCTGGTGGCGATCGCTCGCACGGGCAGCCGCGGCTTCTACGCCCAGAGGGCCGGCAAACAGGCCCAGCAGGTGTCCCCGCCCAGCAGCCCCTCCTCCCCCGGCCCGCCGCCGCCGCCGCCGCCTTCCGAGGCGCCTTCCTGGACGCTGTGCTCCCTGGGCGAGGGAGAGGCCGGGCGCCTGACCACGGAGAGCCCGGAGGACCTGGTGATGTTCACCAAGCGCACCCTGACGAGGGTGCGGCCCAGCTCGGTGCGTCTGGACTCCAGTAACCCCAACCCGCAGGGCTACTGGAAAGGAGGCGTCCAGCTCGTGGCCTTGAACCAGCAGACCCCCGGCGCCATGCTGGACCTCCACAGGGGTCGCTTCTCCCAGAACGGCGGGTGCGGCTACGTCCTCCGGCCGGCCGTGATGAGGGACGAGGTGTCCTATTTCAGCGCCCACACGCAGGGCTGCGTGCCGGGGGTGCCGGCTCAGACTCTACGGATCAAGGTGAAGGCGGCACGCCGGCGTCGCGGGCTTTCCTGGCTTTTCTCTTCCTTCTTTCTCTTTCTTTTTTCAACCACCGTTGAGGTTCTTTCCGCAATTAACCCGCGACGGCTTTTCCGCGCAGGTGATCAGCGCCCACAACCTGCCCAAGCCTCAGGGATCGGGGGCGAAGGGGGAGGTCATTGACCCCTACGTGGTCCTGGAGCTGCACGGCGTACCGGCCGACTGTGCCGAGCAGCGCACGCGCACCGCCGCTCAGAACCAGGACGACCCGCTGTTTGACGAGACCTTTGAGTTCCAGGTGAGGCCTGCTGCAGATGCTCGGGGTTTGTGTTTGCAGGCGGGTGCTCGGTATTGGATGAAGTCTCTTTGCAACTGGAGCAAGAATGCATCGTTTAATATTTAAAAATTCTCATACTGTCGGATTCAATGCTCCCGTATACTCGGTGAAGTGACGTCTCTTTAAATCACTCTCTGCAAAAAAGCCCAGTTTGCTCTGATTGGATTTTTTGGTGTCATGGAGGTTGTGTATTATAATTCTAATGAGTCTGCAGGTGACGTAGGAACACAAACCTTATGTGAACCTCACCAAGCAAAACTAGGTCGTTTTAGTTTGCAGTGTGCGAGTCGGAAGCAAATAAGCAAAGTGAATATGTGAATGAGTTCCTCATATTCTCCCTTTACTATATTTAGGTTGTTGACATGCGCACTCAATAATGTCCATACAGCAAACACTGGGAAAAACAAGCGCCTCTTTAAGCCATTTACATAACAGCATGACAGCCGCTCATAATAATCCTGTTTACGGGAGCAAAAAATAATATTTTAATTTTCTAGAGAAATTGTTTATTTCTGTGTTTTTCTCAAAGAGAGAATAAATGTCCCAGGATGCACCTTAAGTCTCACTTAATAAATGAATAAATACTGTAGTTTTTGGCGTCTATAGAATCATCCTCTAATCTAAACCGGGAAAGACTTTTATTGCATAACATCTTATTTCAATGTGCCTTTTTAAAAAAGTGGACTAGATGAAACATTTTTAGGAAAGAGAGAAATGTCAACAACATAAAAGGGGCTTATATGATGTTTTTGACAGATCTACGTGTGCTTCTCTGTTGGCTCTGCACCTCCACCTAAATAGAGCCCAGAGTACTTAATTACTGGGGGGGGATTTGGGGGGGGGGGGCTCAGTCTTCTGCACTGAATTCATTACAGCTGATTTGGCTTTTATTTTTATTTTTTTCCGCCGCTCAGTGACAGAATCGTTTATCGGTGTGTCTGAGCCGTGATGACAAGCTGTCACAACCGATATGGCGACATGTGTGTGTGTGTGTGTGCGCGCGCGCGCGCGTGTGTGTGTGTGTTCCTGAAGCATCATCACGAGTTGTGTAATACTGGTAGTTGGAGGCAGCGTGTGACTGTGATCGCAGCGGATCCTTGGCAGGAAAGTGGCGCGAAGCGGAACTTGGATTCCACGTGTGACTTTTTTCAAGCTTCCATTCAACGAGCAAACGAGTAAAATATGTGGAATGAAAAGAAGAAAATATCTGCATTCACGCTGTCTCAGTCTCTTTCTTATAGATGAATAACATAATATATAATATTCACTTAAGAGAGTTGGCAGATTACAGATTTAAATGGGGGAGGGGGGCACTTAAATCACAATACATTAACATTCTAAACTGTCACAGTGCTAAAACGCTGCCCCTTTACCAACTCTTCTCTCTATAGACGTACTACGAGTTCAGATGTCACTCTGGAGACAAAAAATGTATTATGTAAACACAAGACCACTTTATTCGGGTCTTTGTATTTTGCCTGCACAGAACATCAGCTTCTCCCAGCACACACACACACACACACGCGCACACACACACACACACACGCTGTACTTCATGATAGTGCAGACCGAGCCTGAGGCAGCAGCCCAGACCTCGTTCAGTCAACGTGACATGTCCCGCCCCCCTCCGCCCCCCCCATCCATCACCACGAGCATCCTCTTCAGAATACACTCGCATGTTTGCGTTACAATGAACGCAGCCGTGCGCCCGTCTGCGTCTGCTTGGTTTTAGTTACTCACACGTGAAGGAGTATCACATTGTTAAAAACAGTTTTTAATGTGAAATGCTCACATGTTATTTTTCTTGGAGCTGAAGTATAATTTCAGACACGTTTAATCACTAAGAATTTCTGTGCTTTCGTCCTCGCGGAGTCCGGCAGGTTGCACCGCCGCGTTGCTACGCCAACCCGCAGCGGACAAACCAAACCCCGGTCCCGGGGAGAGACTTTCACGTCCCCACGTCAACCCCCGAAAGCCCGTTACCATGGCGATGCATTTTGCACAATTGGGCACAGTTTGCAACCAGCCGAAATAGCTCTTAGTCCCTGAAAGGGAACAGCGACTTCCCGCCACATCGCCATGCTGGTTTTTTGGGGGTTTTGGGGCAAAGTGGAAAAGAAACGAGTGTGTTTCAGTTCTGTGATTCTGTACCAGGCTTTTAGTTTAAGCAGATGTGACACGCACCTCGACTCAAACTGTGACCTCTGGAGGAAATCAACGTCTCAACTGCGAATGCTTCAGTTTATTTTCCTCCGAGCCCGAAGACTTCGTATGGTTCATTCTCTGGGACACACACAGACACACACAGACACGCACGCACGCACAACTCCGGCTCGGGGCAAGTTTATTCTCATTCTCTGTGGGAAATGATGGATTCGTACGGCCTGTTGCTATATAGACACGACATCCAACCCGTGTGTGTGTGTGTGTGCGCGTCTGTGTGTGCGTCTGCGTGTGTGTGTGTGTGTGTGTCAGCCTTTGGGAAGAGAGAAGCAGCCATCAGCTGATAATGTTCTATTATGAATGTTGTTTGCTCCTCTGCACTGAATGAGCTTCATTTGTCCTCCCACTTACTGCGCACGTGTGTATAATTAGTGTGTGTGTGTGATTGTGTGTCTGCACATATGAACGTTTATAGCCTTATTAGCCGTTAAAGTCCTGTGGAGGTGTGATTTTTATGTGCAATATTTCCACCAACCCCCCCACCACCACCACTCTGCAGCAGCACCACGTTAACACGAATGCTTCACCTGAGCAGCTTCATGAGTGACGCTGAACGACACAAAGCGGCGTTTGAGCTCCTCCAGCTGCACACCGGCACTGATTCATCACCGGTCCGTCGCCGTAAACACTTAGCGGAGTGCACATTTTACCCCTAATAAGAGCCGACCAGATGATCCCAAATCAAGAGCGTGAATAATTTACCCACCGTCTCTCCTCAGGTGACTGAACCTTTGAAAGCCGCGGTAATCAAACGGACATAAATAACAAGGCTGATGATACAAACAGTTAATAAGACGCCAGGGTCTCTGCGTGAAGTCTGTATATTTATATGTAAATGTGATGACGTCATCCGCAGGGGCTTTGGGGCTTTCAATCTTATATAATCTTCATCGCCACATAAGATTTGCTGAACTGTAATGAAATTGTAGCTGAATGCTAATTGTTGCATTCCATAAACACTCGGCAAACTCCATCTGCATCACAAAGCGCCGCATTGAGGGACCCGCGCGCCCACGTGAATGAGGGAATTCACGTTGTTTAAATACATTTGCAAACACTGCTCCCGTCCCGCCTGCAGGTGAACATGCCGGAGCTGGCGCTGCTGCGCTTCGTGGTGCTGGACGACGACTACATCGGGGACGACTTCATCGGCCAGTACAGCGTGGCCTTCGAGTGCCTTCAGCCCGGCTACCGCAACGTGCCCCTGCTGGGCATGGCGGGAGACCCCCTGCCGCACACCAGCCTGTTCGTCCACGTGGCCGTCACCAACCGGGCGGAGGGCGGGAAGGCCCAGCGCCGCGGCCTGTCGGCGAGGAGGGTGGGGAGGCGGGGCCGGGAGTACGTGGCGCTGAGGCACACCGGCATCAAGGCGGTGGACGAGAGCTTCAAACCGGCCGGCGCCCCCCTGAGGGAGGCCACGGACCTGCGGGAGGATGCTCAGGTGAGGAGGAGTCAGTCGGCCAATCAGGCGCTTTCACATTCCGGACATTCCGCTATTGTCAGACACGTCAATTCCGATAAGGCGCAACTCGGCGAAAAAAACGACCCCCGGGGGGCTATCGCCGAGGCGTCAATAAGAAAGATTTGAAAAGGCGCAAATCATCCTGGGGCGGCACGCAGTGACGCGTCAGCCCAGTTCCAAATGTCTCACTTGAAGCAGAAAACAACACAGATGAATGGATCCGTTGGTGAGTTCAGTCCGTCCGAGGATCGACTTAAAGTCGGCGAATCAGCAGTTTGCACTCGAATCGTCCTCGGACTACTTTCGCAGTTGTTGTTTTTCTGGAATATTGTTCAGAAGAAATTAAAGAAATGATTTTACGTTATTCATAATATGCAGAACACTGTTTCTGGAAAGATTAGGGTTTTTTCTGAAACTTCCCAGCCTGCATTGGTGAATGAGGAGCAAAAAGAAGTAAGGATTCGGGAGAGGAATCCTTCATCGTCTCACGTCTCAAAAGCTGGAACAATCCCGCCCGACCATTGTATCAGACATCCTCCCTCACACACACACACACACACACACACACACACACACACGGACACATTCACAAACTGCTTTTAATCCGCTTCTCTTTCACACGACTCTCTCCTCCTCCTCCGTGTCCCCCGTCAGTGAGTCCAGCTGTGGGCTCATCTGCCACAGTCAGTTATTATTCATCATGCGTCTACACACACACACACACACACACACACATAGGTGGGGCGCGATAATCGCTCGTCCGGTTGGGGCTCTGCCAGGTGGCAAATTGTATTCGAGTGGTTTTATACGTACAGAAAAATACCTTTCACCTTCACCATTATGACCCAAAATGTAATGTAGGCAGATTGACCAGTGACACACATTTATTCTTGTGTTGCATCCTGACACACCTGCAACTCTGGATGCTGAAATGATTCTTCTGTTATCGGCTCCTCCAGCCAAACGCACTTAGGCTGAGTCTGATTTCACTGGATTAAAAGCAGCAACGACTGAATTGATTCACAAGGGAGACAGCAGATGACATAGAGGACAAAGAGAAGTGTGTGTGTGTGTGTGTGTTTGCCGCCTGTGTCACCCAGTTTACTCCAACAGCAGGAACTCCACATCTGATCCAACGCTATTTTCCTCTTCCCTCCCTCCCTCCCTCTCCCTCTCTCTCCCCCCAGAGCGCCACGGCCAGCTTCAAGGAGCAGTGTGGGCTCCCCTCTGTGGCCAAGCTGAAGCAGTGCATCCAGAGCCTGACCACCAGGCTGCAGGGCCCCGAGGGCGCCATGGGGGCCGCCATGGTGCTGAGGGAGGGCTACCCGTGTCTGGAGCCGCTCGTCGGCCTCGCGGAGCCGACGCGCAAACTGCTGGCCGCCTACGACGCGGTGAGTGGGGGCGCAGGCCTTCCGTCCGGGGAGGAATTTATGTTAAAAATGCAATAAATATGCAGAAAGGCAGTGCATGAAACACACACACACACACTCACACACTCACACGCCACACTGCCAGCTGTGTCTCCTCATTCTCCATCATCACATCAGGCCGATTCTCTTCCACCTGTGAACACCCACGCACACAGACACACACACACACACACACACACACAGCGCGCTCCTCTCCGAGCTGTCGCGTTGGTGCACGTCAGCGCAGATAATGGTGTGCGAGTGGGACGTGGCGGATGTGGGCGGCAGGTCGGCGCGATCGAACGTCACACACTCACACACACACTCTCCTCGCTGTCTGTCTTTCTGTTCCCGTCGCTTTGTCTGAACAACATTCCCAAGATATTCAGCTTACAATGTTGTGTGAGTCGTTATTTTTGTTTTAACTGCTGAATAAATTGAGTTGGATCAACTGACTAATTTCATCTAAAAATAAATCACACATTTCCTTATTTTCAGCCCGACATATTTGTTGGTTGTTTTGGAAAAACCTCAATGTTCCTCAATTAAGTTCTGACTGTAACTTCCTTCCCCGTCTGCGCAGATGATCGCCGCCCAGAAGCAGCTGATTGAGAACGCGGACGGCGTCCAGGAGAGGATCGCCCACGTGCAGAGAGAAGGTAACCGCGATAATGAGCTTTCGCTTTTACCCCCCTCTCCCTCCATCCTCCCCCCCCCTCCCTCCCTCCCTCCCCGAAAAGGAGCGAACGTGAACATCAAACAGCTGAACTTAATGAGGACGACTGTAAGCGGCGTTCCACGCGCAGAGACGCGGCCCTCTGGCCCGTTTGACACAGCGTGGATTTAATCATCAGCAACAAGCCCCGAAGGCGCCGTTGGTGAATAAATAAGCAAACGCGTCATTGATATTCAGGTGTAACTCAGATAGCTGGTGACCTTTACGGGTCGACGTAGGTGTGACGAGGAAACGCAGCAACAAGCAATCCATCAGGAGGAATGTTGTCGACACGGAACATTCTGTGTTGGGCACAAAGATGATTCCGGCTCCCGGCGCCGTTTCACCCGCTTCATCGGAATGGCTGTCTGTGTGTGTAGGAATGGACTTCCACGAGGAACTCTCCCGGCTCGGCGAGAAGGAGGGGCTGAAGGGACGCAAGCAGAGCAAAGCGGTGGAGAGTTTCACCTGGAACATCACCGTGCTCAAGGTGCTCATGTTGATTTAAAAAACAGCCTTTTTCCCTCCAGGCGTGCACACGAAGGTCCTTGTGCCATTTTGACCAAAACGTGAAAACACTGAAACTTTTCAGACGCGCTCAGCAGCAGCAGCTGTTTTGTCATTTTAAAAGAAGAGATAAATCTGTTCTTATTAACTGCATTTGATTCAAAGCTTCTGGTGAAAAGAAAATGGCAAATGAAACGTTTATTTTAGATGATATTAATATTGTCCCCACGGAATATATTTTAGAAATAGTTTTGTGAAATATACACAGCTGCTGTGATGAGGTAACTGCAGTGATTAGCTTCTTATAGCTCAACGTTTTGGTCTCCGGCCTTTGGTGTAACGTAGTCGGCTCTGTGCAGCACCTGCAGCACAAAGCAGCGTGCAAAAATACAAAATACAAAAAAAATTCCGCTTTGCGTGAGTTTAACTCCCCCCCCCCCCGTGTTCTGCAGGGTCAGAACGACCTGCTGCGCGGCGCCCAGATGGACTCCCTGGACGCCCTGAGGCAGCTCGCTCTCGCCTGCGAAGCCTGCGGACTCGCCTCCGACCCCTCGGCCTCCGCCGAGCTGCACCGCTCCTCCTCCCAGCCTCCGTCCGGGCGCAGGAGCAGCACGCACGGCAACGGGCGCGTCTGACGAGGAGGAGGAGGATGAGAGGGTGGGGGGGGGGGGTCCCGGGGGGGCAGGGCGGGTACCAAAAGCCCCCAAAGGAGCCCGGCTGTGGCGGCCCACCCCTCGGGGGGCCCGTTTGAACCATTAAGGGGATCATCTTAACGTCCCAACGCAGAGGGGGAGGCCACGGGGGCCCCCCTCCTCCTTTTTTTTTTGTGAGACAAGGGGCAATTTAGGGTTTTTCCTTTTGGGGGAGGGAAATCCTGAGGCTCAGAGTTACTCGTTCCCCCATTACCCTATGGGGGGGGGGGGGGGGGTGATGTTTACGTTGCCGTTGGTGTTCAGAGGCGGAATGCAGAAGGGAGGAGACGACGGGACATGTCTCAGTGTTTCAGCCGGTCCCCTGTGTGTGTGTGTGCACAATATACACACAGTGTGCAAGGTGCTGTGAGACGGGATGTGACCCAACGCACAACGCACAACGCACAACACACAACACACAGGCAACGGGGCCTTTTGCTTCTCTGCTTATCCGTCCACGTGTGACATCATCAAGTCTCGGCTGACTTGAAACTTTAATAAAAAATAAAAAAAAAACATGGCAGCTGTTCCCGGTGACGGCAAATTCCTCCAAAGCCTCCAGACAGAGCGAGTCTCTCAATGAATGTCAGAGGACAAATAGAGCTGATTTAAAGTACCAACACGTTTGGAGAGGCCTGAACAAAACTCCACAAGTAAAAACTGCGTAAAGACAGAAGTTATGGAGGACAAATCAAGGCAACGGGAAGCTCAAGCCTGATTCCTAACAAAAGCAGGTGAAACAATAAAACATTGATATAAGAACATCTGACATCAAAAATTATGCAAACAATGAAAAGAGCATTAACGCAAGTAAAATCTGTTTTAATAAATGATTTAAAAGACACTTCCAGAGTTGATGCATGTAGGAAACCATCAAAGGTACATTTTGTGAAGTAAACCAGCAGCAGAGTCCACGCACACACACAGGAGCGCTTGTTTTCCTCACCAGGGTGGCCTTTTAAAACCCGCCGCGCTCGGTTCAGAGGGCCGGGCTGAAACACTAGATACTGTCTACACGGTGGTGTACTTCATGTACACGTGTGTATTGCTTAACCACAATGACCTGCTAGTGTGTGTGTGTGTGTGTGTGTGTGTAAAACAGATTCCTGCAGTATTGGTGAAGTACACTGTATTTATGTAGCAATAATCCTAATGGCCGTTAAAACAAAGTCATGACTCATGACCTCGCTGTGGGCCGACTGAAGACAATGTAACAAACTTTATAGCTCAGTGATGCTTCTAAATGTGTGCGTCCAGCGGGGGCCACTGTTCCTCTTTGGCCTTTCGAGTGTAACTGTGTGTTTCTTAATCAACACTTGTGCTTTTTATTCAGCTTTTGTACTCTTGTATCTTGTAATGCTGCGTTTGAACTAATGTGATCATCAGACAGTTTTAACACATTATAATCTATTCTTTGGTGGACAAAATTGATCTCCAATATCGGTGGTTTGCAGGTTTTATAACGAGTTAAAAAAAAGTGAAAAATTATTCTTATTTGAAAAATGATTAAAAAGCCCCCTAATCTGCTCCTGAGAAGAGTGTGACCCGATAACACCCCTCAAAGTAGACGTGTAGGGAAGAGAGCGGCGGCTGAAGGATAGGAGAGGTGGCTTATTGTAGACAGTTTTAACTGAAGAATATACACATTGAATGTGATTTTACGCCTTTCAGGTAGCTATTGTTTGCAGGTAATGTCGGTAAGTTCAGCGTGCAGAGGCTACAGCTCGGGACCGGTTTTAATCAGCTGAAATATTATTTAGTGGTGGTGCAAATGAAAGAATTTTGGGATATGCACCTGTCCGCAGGTTGCAAAGTTCTGGGAAATAAAAAAATCGTGAATCCCCCCCCCCCAGCGGTCCTCCCCTCACTACAGTGCTTTACTATGATGCTCGGTAATGTATTCTGTTTGCGACCCAATGCCACATGCCGACGCCCTTAAGCGCCCCCCTCACACCTCCATCAGATGTGCACTGAGCTCTTCCTCTGAGCTTTGAGTTTGAAGGAGGCGTACGAGGAGGGACGAGGAGGGACGAGGAGGGACGAGGTGTCCCTCGCTCTCGCTGAGTGAAGCTGCCTCTCTTTGCAGACCGGTGGTCCAATAGAGCTTCACATTCACCTGAATAATCGAACGAGCCGTTTGTACCCGCCGTAGTGGTGCGGACGGATACGGATGGGGTGCAAAACACAAGTATTTTAGGTTCTGCATTACGTGGCGTCTGCAGTGTCTCCGCCGCTGACCTTTAACCCCAGTGTTGTTCCTTGCTCTTACAGTCGTTGTATGTTTTTGTAAAATAGAAGAGAGAAAAGAAGACCAAAAGAAAGAAAAAATATTTATTGAAATGTGTTTTAAGAAACAAAATAAATATAATTAATTAAATGGACCTTGCTTTTATTTTGAAAAGCTACTGTGTTTTCTATCTGAACATTAATCTAATATAACAAAAGTATGTTTCCCGTTAATAAAGTGATTTTCTTCCTGATTGGATCGTGTTCTGTTGCTGTGATGGACGTGTGGACCTGTAGGCCTTTTTCCTGTAGAACTGCTCAGGAACAGTCGCGCTGTCACACTCACTCAACAGTGCCTAGTGCGACCTTTGACTCCTCTCCCACATCTGCTTCCAAAACGTTTTATTACATATCTAGATTAAGCTTCCATCATATACAAATATACTGCGTTCATGAATTAGTTCAATAATAGAGAGAGAGACACACAGAAACACTGACAATGATCCATGAGGGGAGGCGGAATAAAAAAGTCCTTTCAGTATAAAACAATAAGCTTTAACTGCATCACAAACTACATCTAAAATGATGAAATTGATTCACTTCCTTCAAACCTTTGCGTGATGAAGGATTTGTTGCAGGACTTGGATTAGTTTTAACATCGTAAACATGCAATATAAAACAACTTTACTTCAGTCAGTACTGTTTATTTAGCGTGCCACCTGTGATGCTACCTTGCTGTTGTGTGTACTCATAAAGTAATCGATTAAGGCCGCGCTAGCATGTGGTTAGCATCTGAGCTAAACTCGAGTTTGCCGAGCGGGAACCGAGCAGAAAAAGATGGAACCGAAATCAGTTGTGCAGCTCGACGGTTTTCACTGGCTGCACAAGGAACAAAGTGTGCAGGATGTTACTCTGCACCTCCAGCAGGGGGCGCCACGCACCAACGAAACAAACAACAACATCATTGCAAAGGTCAACCGTGCAATTCATTTGTTTTAATGAAAGATTTTCAGATGCTTTACGCCAATATCATCTTTGCAATTTTTTTTCCTCAATATTGTTTGATTAGTTTTAATTGGTTAAGTAGTTTAAGTAGTAGTACTTTTTAATTAACTTAGTGATATTTATGTGATTCTTTTTATCAATAGATCAAGTTGAAAGCAAATGGTGTCCATGTTGACGCTGTTAAATTAATTATTTGACCACGTATGCAAATATAACATATAATTACAACGGTCAAAATCCCCAAATACGTCACATTAACGATGAGGCGAAGCAGAGAAGCTTTAAACCCACACAAATGACTGGAACCATTAAATAAAACTTAACTTAACTTAAATTAAAACAAAATTTTATCTGCCATTCCGCTTTCCTGTTATACGATTATTGGTGCAATGCACGGCATGCTCAATAAAATTCTGTTTCTCTTAGAAAAAGATAATTCACACTTCCCCCCCCCCTCCCTCCCCCCACACCCACCTCTCCCCCAGGAGCTGTCGGCAGCAGATGGGAGGTGATGGAACTGTGTGGTAGCGTAGGCGGGGACATGACAAGCCGTCAGGCCCTAATGCAGGCCAACATCTGGAGGTTGTTGGCCTCGTCCCTCCTTGCCCGCCGGCAGGGTCCTCTAGCCCGGGGCCAGGAGCCCCCCCCCCACCCCTCCTCACCCCCGCTGAGGGACGTGCTCCCGGGCCGAACCACCGGGGCCTCCGAGGACAGGAAGCAGCAGCAGTGATGGCGTGCGTGTCGAGTGCCGCCGGCCAACCTCCACTGAGCAGAAGACACTTTCTCAGTGTGTTTATCACAGTTATCAGCAACTGCAGAGCGTCCAAAGACGTCGTGTGTGCGAGTGGGGGGGGGAGGGGGGGCTTCATGCACCGCCGTGGAGGCCTCAGGCATTTTTTTTTTTCTTTTTTAATGACAGCCCTCACCCAGACGTAATTTCACTGTGATTAAGGCAGGGGGGGGAGAAAAATGAATCATCTCTTAAAAGTCTCTAAATTGCATCTTATTTATCCACCTTTTAACTAACTACAAAAGGCAGGGCGGACAATGGCGCCGCATGTTACCGCCTCCCCCGATGGACGATTACACCTCGTCGTACGGCCCTTCGATGCATCTTAAATGGGCAACACGGGAGAGGACACGGACAAACAGTCTGCCTCGTGACAACGGGCCCTTTTCTCTTTTCATTTTCCCACTTTGAACCAAAGCTTTTCCGGGTTGTCGGTTGTTTGACCTGCAGCTTTGGTTCCTACTTGAAAATCTTAACTAAGTATTCAATGTGGTGAAATACGGTGCAGCGGCTTTTTTCCCTCATCGCCACCGGGAGTCTTCGCACAACGTCCGCTTCTGCTACTTGATGCAACTCAGCCCATTTTCTCCGTAGACATGTCCCTTGGGAAACAAAGCATTTGCAAATTGGCGGGAACGTTTTTCCGGGTAGATGATCAAAGTCTGAGGTCGTAAAAGTAAAAAAGTTGATCCTCCAAACGCAGAAATCCAATGCATCGCTGCAAAGTTCTGCAAAGTCGAAAGTGAGATGAGTGACAACTAAAGAGTGGGGGGATCATTGCAAGAAAAGTCCCTCAAAGTCAAATGTTTCCCTTTCCCCACAGACGGCCTCCGGGGAGAATTCCTCTTCGGGGGGATCCCAACAGATCAGTTTGTTGAACGGGGGGAAATCACCCTTTTTTGTGGGGGTAATTACATTTGGACCCCCCCCCCCCCCCCCCTCCCGCTCCATC